ACACAGCTACAACCAACACCCCTGTAACCTCAAAATGAAGACATGGGCCAGTCATCTGACTGTCAAGGCACCGAGGAGTTGATTCAGCTTTCAGGGAGGCATCCTGGATAGGGAATAGTTGTGGTGGTGTTAATGTTGTAGCAGCATCCAGAAGGGTGTCATACCAGGCATGTAGAGTTTGCCAACAGCAGCTGCAGTGCGTGACCTGTTATACAAACCCAGAGAAAGGGAGTCCAGCTGACCAGCGCCAGGTCTTGTGGCCTCAGAGAATGGGCTGAGCAGGTAGGTGTAACAATAGCATGGGAAAGTCAAAACCACAGAGAATTTAAGAGGCTTGCCTGGGAAGCACCGTGGTTTTACTTGAGCTTATTAAACTCCTCTGAGCCTCAGCACTCTCTCAAATAGGAGCATTCATTTATGCACTCACAGGTATTATACAAGTACTATTAAAGTGCAAGGTATTACTAAACCTGTTACTGGAAGAGCAGGGAGGGGAACTTGAGTTGCAGAGCTCCAAGTCTCGTCCTACTCCAACGCCGATAACTTCTGAGGGAGCTTCTCATCAGCCATTGACAAATGGAAAAAGTTTTGAGCCCAAAATGTTTGAGTTTTCAGAAAAATAATTTGAATCTATTCTCTCTCTCACACATACACATCAGATTGCTGAAATGGGGGTGGAGGGGGAATCACAAAAATATTAGTTAGAAAAATAAGTCAAAGCAAAAAAAAAAAACCACAGGAATTTCCACAAAGACTTGTTTGGTGCTTTTCTGTACAACGTTTAAAAAGACAATTAATTGCCCTGCAAAGGGAAGTCTCTACTCCCCCCCCCCAACGCCAAGCTACGGCACTATTTAATCTCCCAAAATCAGAAAGAACAGCAAAACAAAGAGATTCTATCTTGTCAATTTTGTGGCACTACGTGCCCAAATGACACAGGCTGTATAAAAAATACATGATGAAGCTGACATCATGGCAAGCAGTAGTCATGAGACATTGATCCTGTGCCATGTCATGGCGAAGGGCTCACAATGTTTCTTGCTGTTGAAATGAAGTCACTCTTCCCAATGCAAACGTTCATGACAGCACTCGGTTATCTTTGTAATGGGCTCAGTGTGAAAAGAGAGAGTCCTTCAGAGCTGCTGTAATTTAGGTTTTGTACAGTGTTGTGGTAACAGCATGATGATCACTTCTACTTTACTAAACAATCCTGTAGTTTTGAAGTTGTCTGGCCTACTTTAAAATTTAAGGAGATTAATTTTGATGAAACAGAATGCGAGTGCCTCTGTAAATCTTGGATGCATTTAGATTTTAACAAGATATTAAATTATCATTAGTTGTCCTGCGACGCCACCGCAGAACCCCAATCATGAATCTGGACTTCACTGTGAGAAGCACAGAACAAAAAGATGGTTGCAGCCAAACTTAGAAAGGCATGGACATCTATAAGAGTTTAAATGTAATTTAAACCTGAAATGGATAGATGTATAAGCCTGTTAAACCGGTTTACAGCTGCCTGGAACAGTTGAAAAAATGTACCTGAAAAGTTATGTACTGTATTGACCTGCATACCACACTCCCTCAAATAAGACACACACCTTGTTTTGGAAAGGCAGAAGGAAGAAAAATAATATCCAGTCTTGCCTACCACACTACAGGGCCCCCACAACTAAAAGCTCATGGGCAAATACATCACTTACCCCCTCCTTCCAGCTCCCACAGCTGCACTGGCAGCAGCTTTTGGCCGCAGGGGTTAAATCTAGAGCTTTGGAGCTGGGAGGAGAGGGCGAGTGCCACTGTGAATTGGACCCAATCCCTCCTGCATGGCCCTGAGAAGGCAGCACAGCCCCCAGCAACCTTTGCAGCATTGCTAAGCCCCCACTACAGTATGTAAATCAGCTTCCTTGTTTAACATATGCACCCCAGTTTTGGATGGCTAATTTTTGGGGAAAAGATGCATGTAGCATACAAGTAAACGTGGTACACTTTTGAAACAATTTACTGTGAACCAGGTCAGTGTAATGTGCGCAAACCAAATGCTCCACACCATGGGTCTGGTCAGTCCTGGCCTCCAGGCATCCCGCAATGCCTTGCTTCTCCCACCCTTCCACTACCGCAACTGGCCTCTCCGATATGCAGCCAGAACTCTACTGCATCCCCCTCCTCTCCATTTTTTCCCCCTTTTGTCGGCCCTTTTTTTTTTAAGCAGTGCTTGCTCTTGCACTGCTGCGTCAATCTGTTATCTTTCCAACAACAAGCTGTGTCCTCACCCTCTACTCCACTGTGGCTCTTCATCATGCTACCCCAGCCCCTGGAAACCTAAAAACATGGGTCCAAGCATCCCCACACTGGGCATCCCAAGTCAGGCAAGCACACTGCAGAGTTCAGCCAAGGGAAGGCTACTGAAGTTTACTGAACTCATGTTTAAGGGAGATGGGAAAGCAAACAAATGAAAACATCCCCAATTACCAGCCACAAAGCATGGGTACAATTTCTCTTCTCCTTGTTCCCCTCCCCTCTAACTTAGCCCCTACAGAGCATGCTGGGCTAGATGCTCACTTTGACACCCTGGAGTTGGAGCCACAGCGCTTCAATACCTAAAAGAGTCTACCCAAAATGCTAAGGTGCTGTATGTATAGACACCTCTGACCTGTGACAACTGTGAACTGGCTCCCAGTCAGTGATGTTTGGGAATGCTTCAAATGTTGTGTGCCTTCATCCAAAGATAACTATGGCAGTGGTACACAGGAAAAAATATATTTCCACAAACGAAGTAACTTACAGAAGATGACAGTCTTTCAACAAAGAATGGCAAATTTATGCAAAGCCTGAAATGGTTGGGAGGAAACAGGGCAAATCCGTAGTGTAAAATATGGATAGTGCCACTAATAATGGCTTTGCAATCCTCCTTTGTATGTATCAGAGCATGTCTTCAGCTGGGGTAAAATGCTATAGCTGCACCTATGATAATTTCCACCAGCTGAGGGTCTGTCCCATACAGCAGTTGCTTACACGTCTTCATTATACATACCAAGATGTACTCACTTCCATATCTTCATACAGCGCTATGGCTTGATATACTACCATTTTGCCTATGGAGACTGTGGTGGAAAACTCACTTATATTCAAGGGAAAACAAACATATTGGGCTCTTTCTAATCCCTTGTGGAAATCTGTGAGCATCACAATGTTGCCAGTTCAGTCCAATGCAATGTTTCTGCTCTGAAGGTTTAGGCTTGCGAAGGAAGGCTTTTTGGGCAGATTGCAGCACATGGGGTGGGAGTGTTGCAGAGTTGCTATGTAAACTAATAGTCACCAACTTGGGTAGGACTTGCTGCCTGCAAATTCATGATTTTCTGAAAATCTACATTAAAATGGCCAAAGGAAATATAGTAATTATTACCTGCATTGTAGCACCCAATAACCTCAGGCACAAGTCAAAAAGGCCCCCACCCTGCAAGCTTACATGCATTTATACAACTTCATGCAGATAGGTTTTTGCATTGTCATTGAACAGACTGTTTGCATGCATAAAATAAAAGATATCCATATGTGTTGTCATGATTCAGGCCTTCATTTCTAAAGCCTTATTCACAGAAAGACACAAAATCACCACATGGAGAAAAGCCAATCTGCATGGTCACTGCTATTACATCATCACTTATACATCTGATGTACTAATTATTCTGGACCCACCTTGAGACAGGAAATAAGCACCTACAATTAAGACACAGAATGGGAGGGCACTCAGGGTGCTTAATGGAATTACACCTCTCTGCACAATCCTACAGCCACTAAGGTTTGTTGGGATTTTGCCATTGATTCAGGCAACAGCAAAATGGCATTTGCATTAAATAGGCAAAATAATAAGGTTTGTAGCTGGCCACACAAATGTCACGTAAAAGATTTTGTATTATCCAGCCATAGCTTCTCCTTGTGCATGGAATCATGCACAAAGTCTTTCTCCTCTTGTAAGATGTAGCATTGGGCTAATCTGTAGATGTTCCCTCCAAAGCACACAAAGAAAAGAAACCCTTATGCCACTACCCATTTTTTCTTCAGTATTAACTGTGCAAAGTAAAGCAAGTTAATAAGCCTAAATGGTCAAAGTTTTAGAAAAATAGGAGTAAAAAACAAAAGCTTTATAGCAATTATTGTCCATGAACAAATCAAGATGGAGTAATACTTTACACATAGAAAACAGGAAGATAGGGCTGAAGAGACCTCTCGGGTGCAAGAGTCTGGGCCCCTGCCGTTGGAGACAGCCACGTAATACACCATATAAGATGCACCTTTCCCCAAACAAAGCAGCTTTTGGAAACTGAGGCACACATTTTATGCAAGGAAATATGGATCGCCACAGGTCTGAGAATTTGGTGAATGCCGTTAGTGAGAAGGAGTGGGGATCAGTGGCATTAACTAACACTGCTAGTGATCCCCACTGCCTACAGGGAGTCCCCAGGCTGGATGACAGCCTTGCATGCCACAGCTGGGACAGTGACCCTTAGACCCCATGCACCAGGTTGGGCCAGCAGTCTGTAGGCCCCACCCCATGCACAGGCCTGGTGTCAGGCTCAAGTGTAGGCTTTTCTCCCTAGCTGCTGCTATGCAGTTACTTACCCAAGGTAGCATCTTTTTTCCTCATGATGCCTTTTCAAAAACAGGATGTCATATTAGGGATATATTATCTGTGAGAAAATATGGTAACCTCTTTCATAAACTGGTGAAGTTTCACTTTAAAACTAGTTAGCTCACTGCCCCAACTGCTTCAATTGGAAAGCTGTTCCTGAACCTCAAGGCTCTGATGGTTACAAGCCACCCTCCCCCTACTATTTTTCACTCTAACTTATTCATGGCCAGTTTATACCTATTTGTTCTTGCACCAATACTGTCCGAAGACTAGTTTTCTCTCCTTGTTGTCCCCTTCCCTCAAACCTCAGTGTATTTACAGAGAATAATCATATACTTCAAGAGCCTTAATTCTGCTAGGACAAGTAATCTTAAAATAGATGGATGAATTTACTCTGTATTACACACACACATTCATACATACACAGAGAAAGATGGTGTAGCACTCATTTTAAAAGAAATGTAAAAAATACACATTAGTCAATCTTCAGTTTAGAATACATACAAGGTCTCAAACATGTCCGCAACATATACAAATTACAATATAAAAGACAGATCAAATTCAAATCTGGATTTTTAAAATTTTTAAATCTAAAGGCTATCTCTATATGGAAATACCAGAAACCCTACCTGAAATTCCATAAAACCCCTAAGGTGCGAACATCACCAAAGGGAAAATAACCCCAAACCAAACACACCCACTCTCCCGCAGCCTTGAATACCTTTTCTACAAAGAAGGGGTGGGAAGACAAAGTGCATTCTGGTAAAAGGCCCCAGACAGAAGTCAAGTTGGATCATAGATAATCTGTAGGTGAAAAAGCCTGCCATTAAATAAATTCAAGAGAGGAAAGATAGAACACATCCTTTGCCTGCTTCCCATTACACCCACAAAAAATAATTTCTAGCTTTGCTGCTCTGGCATATCAATCCTGAGTACTCTAACTTTTGATTTATAGTGATATTCCTTCAGATACAGCTTCACAGATGGAGGAACAGGAAGTGCATCAATGCCATCATATGTTGTGCAGTTGCAAATAACTGTTCTGCATATATGCTGAAGGGAAAAAGGAAAAGTCCTGTGTAAGGGAGTAGATAAAAGTGGTTCAAAGAACATACAAGAACTTGGGTCTTTGTAATGCTCTAAGAGCCCAGTTATGTCTGGAGAGTGGAAGACGCAAGGGTCATGTGCATCAAAGCTGAAGTTATGATTCCACTGTTCTATCCTTGCATGAAGGGAACGACTGTACCGCCTAAAACTGACAGAAAACAGGTAGTCTTCTTGGGCAGAGTCTCGGAGTAAAAAAGTTCCTTCTGGCTTTCCTTCCAGCAGGGCCTCAGCTGCATATTTATCCATTACTCCCCAGTAGCATGGATTGTTATTGATCTGCAGGAGGTCTGGGACAAGACAGTGGACATAATCAATCTGAGTATGATATTTAGGAGGCTTTTCCAACTGCAACAACTCATCATCGGTTTCCCACTTGGGTTTGTTTCTCTTCCTAGAACTCGTGCAAAGCGTTATAACTTCATCATCAGAGTCCATATCACTCTCGTCTTTCTCATTCTTTAACACCTGACTCACGCCCAACTCAGCCCTAGGATCACAGTTACAGGAATCGTCATCCAGAATATCACATGACTGAAGAGAGCTCACTCCTCCACTGAAACTCTCTCTATCTCTCAGCTGGTTATCCCTCTCCTCACTTTGGGATAAATCAGCAACCATCCAGTCTTCTGGTTTTTGACTTATGGGAGCAGTATGCCTTTTAATTAAGTGCCATCGAGAAGCTAGCTCTGAGCGTGGCGGGAAAGGGCACTTATCTAGCATCAGTTCACTGATATGAATTTTCCTTTTTGATGGAAGCATTGAAGAATGTCGACTGCTACAGTTCTTTAGAGGAAAGCATTGCCCCACAGCATCCTGCAACTTCTGCTTAAAAGACCGCCCTAAAAATCTGTGGCCGCATGAACGATCTAACTCCAGTTCAACAGATGAACAGCTGTGCTTCCTTTCTTGGTTCCTCAAACCAGCTGCTGGCTTGCCTAAACTACTTACTGTTTCTGCTTCAGAACAATGCTCACTCTTTCTGGACCACGAGAGCTTCTTTCCGCTCCATACATAGCCATCCTTTCTGTCTGCACTTCTGCTCCGGCTGGTTTTGGGTCTCACATCTACATTTTTACTATTACTTTCCTTATTTTCTGCCATTTTGACAGATTAACTCCACAAGTCCCAGAGTTGTACGTAGACTTTTTCTCTTAATGGTTTCGATGAGAGGAAGCTTCTTTCAGGCACTTCCTGGAAGTATCTAAGTATACAGAGAACACAGTTAATTAACAGTTATACATACCCAAAAGATTAATGCAATAGTATAAATGATTGTACTGGCAATTGACTGCTGGCACATGTAAAAAATAATAACAAAGCTCCCTTAATTAGGGAGAGTCTCTGCAAATACTGGCCTAGTCCTAAACCAAAGCACTTCTACTTTTTCCCCATTACCAAAGTTCTTCATTTATAACCATTTCCTTGTATGTGAATAAGGTATAAACTCACCATGCCTTGAAGCAGAAAGACCTCGTTGCCGCCAACAATTTTGTGCTAGAAAAGAATTTAATGCACCAGAGGATACTGCTTTGGTTGATCACTAAGCCAATGCCGTATCTATTCTAATCAATGTTTCAGGAAAGAACCAGCTAGAACAGAAACAAAGTAGGTCAAAGAGTACAAAGAGCTACTGTACCTACATGATAGGCTTGTTTGTCACTAATCTCCTGAGTCGGATGCCAGAGATCTTATTCTTAACTGGCACTTTTGGGTCACTTTCAGGATACAAAATAAATTAAAAATAAGGCAGTCAGATTCTACCAGTCTCTGAAGGCTGCTTTCATTTCCCTTTCAAAATGGAGTTTAGAAAGCTATTGGGTCCCCTGGGGATTGAAATATCTGGGGCTTTACATACTGAGAAGGATTAAACCAAATCCAGGTCCCTCAGTAAAAGCCATTTAAAATGGCCGTGAAAGATGGAGCTACTTATTACTTGTTATGGGAGAGAAAGTTTCTGTTATTAAATCAATGTCACACAGAAATGTATGCAGCCTCGTTCACTCCCTGCCTTATTTCCAAAAAGTCTGTTGTGTTCTTGAAGAGTTAACAGGTTTGTTCTTGAGGGGGGTCCTCTAGAGAAGGAAAATCCTTTCAAGTACACAAGTGGAAGTATAGCAGCAAAAGACATGTTGCAATGTGCTCCTGGGCTCTTTAGGGAACTTGCCTTAGGTGGAAAGCTTTTCCATTATATAGCACGATGCTTGCACAGCAAAATAAGATATGCTTCCTCCGCACTACTGTTTTGTTTTTTAAACGGATTAAAATGGTAAATACTAGGCAGGAAAAAGGGTATCCGCTTCCTCTCTCCATTGAATCTATTCTCATAATTATGATTACCCAGCACGACACCACTCTGCTCTCCCAGAGGGGCAAGCATGCTGAGCTCTCCTCTGTCAGAAAGAGAGCAATTTTATTAGGCCAACAAGATGTTTCAATATAATCTGTGGGCCAGATATATCCCTGACCAAAGATTTTTGGATTGTCACTTCAGTCCAGAAGAAAGTATTCCCCGCTGACATCGGCAGGATATGCATGAATAGAGCAGGGAAATATACATCAACTTCCAGAAACAGACCCAGACACAGGCATGGGCAAACTGGGTAGCTGCCCAGGGCCTGGACAGAAACGGGGCCCGAAAATGAAAAAAATTACAATTGCAAAAAAGAAGTTAATATTGTGCATACACTGGCAATGGTATAAATTGAGAACAAACTATTTAAAGCCATCAGTACCACAGATGTGATAAAGCCTTTTCCAACAAGTCCAATTACTATTATCATCATCTCAGGTGAAGGGGGCCTGATACTAAAAGTTCACCCGGGGCCACCAGGTACGGCACGGGCCAGAAACTTTGTTTAATGTATGCCCTAAGAGAAGGCCTCAATGACGAGGAAAACCCCAAGACACCAAGTCAAACTGGAGAACGAAAGTTATGCCTTAGTGACAAGACTGAGATAAATAAAGACATGTTCTGTCTGTGTTCTGCATCTTGTTCATGGGTGAAGAACTAAGCTCTTTTAGGAATGCAGTGCATGGTAGCAGTACCTTAGACAAACCAGTTAGTCTTTAAGGTGCTAACGTGCTGCCTTCTGCCTAACTTCAAACTAGCACAGCTAACTACTTCTCTTTAACCTTTTTGTGCTACAGCACAGTACTAGTGAAGAGACATGAGAACCTTTCCATATACAAGTGCTTTACCTACACTTAAGATTCACTGAAGACATTTCCACAGCCATGTCATTACTCCTGCATCCAAGTCATTAATAAAGAACGTTAAACAACATTGGATCCAGGACAGACCCTTGTGGAACCCCACTAGAAACCTCCTGCCTTTCTGACATCAATCCACATGCACTTACTCTCTCCGCTTGTGGTTATTCAGCCAACTTTGTAGTTACTGAACAGTAATTCTATCTAGTCCACATCTCTTCAATTTACTTAGGAAAATATCATATGGGAAACTATCAGAAGTCCTTACTAAATGACAAGTACAGGTATTCCTCACGTTATGCGGGTTCTGTATGTGCAAATTGCTCTTATGAGATGACACTTTTTATACCAAAAATTCATTATATGCAAGGTAAATTCACTCTTATGCAATCAGTGTGATGGAAGCCTGCAGTCAGCTGCTTTGTGCAGTGCATTGTGGGAGTAATATGCACCAAAATATAGTCTCCTGTGTGGATCCACTCTGTGTGGATATAGTCCACTCTGTGTGGATCTGTGCTCGTTGTCTGTGACACCTGTTTCTGTAGTTGCCATCCCCATTATGATAGTGCACTTGTGCTTGTGTGTACTGTCTGCTGTTGGCAAGTACCAAAATTGTCTTGTAAAAGTGCTAGAAATGGGTCTGGGCATCCGTACAGTTGAGGTCTTGGAACATATGCCTATTTGTGACATTGTAAAGTGGGTTCCCTTTATGCAAATTTGAGTTATGTGCCATTTTCTAGGAAAATATGTAAAGCATAAAGCGAGGGAAACATTATATTATTATTTACTCTTTTCTCTTCATCCATCCTGTCAAAGGAGGAATCAAAGTTGATCTTAAGTAAATTTGGAGAATTTACTTAAGAATGATTCCAAAATGTACACTTGAGTTACACAAACAAAACAAACAATTTAAAAAACATTTTGGTTGAAAAAAATTCTAGTACTTGAAGGTCATAGTAGGACAGATTTGAAGTGGCCTGAAAAAGGTTAATTCTCTCATCTTGATCATCCAACCTGTATACTGAATGAGGCATGACTGGTGGAAAAAATAGCTCACGATCACCTAATTGAGGACTGTATCTCAACATGTGGAAACAAAAGTACTTTTTCTCAACACCCCCCTCCCCCCAACAACTACAGGTGATAGTAAGTTCTTCGTATTTCAGTCCGGCAGAATAGCTGCTGTTTCAGAGGCAGTGTGAACTCTCCAAATGTTCAGAGATTTTGGCTGGCTGTCAAAACTTCCCCGAGAAAGCAAGCGCAAGAAAGGAAATGGCCACATCCTCTAACACATTGTCTCCCGGCCAGATCTGAACAGAATTTCATAAGAGAAAGACGAGATACTTCTTTAGCCAGAAGAGATTACTGCTGCCAAACATCTTAAAATGAGTACTAGTCCTTGTGCATATAAGGCCATTATAATTTTGTCATTTGTTGGCAGATTGAGATGAGCCCTAAGCATATCCAGACTCTTCTTGACATCAGGTTTGAAATAAGTGAACAATCTCTCCAGCCTATTAGTTCCTCCCACCCCAAGCTCTCTGCACCAGCTGCATACGAACGATGCCTAGAGAGTAAGCAGATTCATCAAGTTTTTTTATTTGCAAGCATATACATCTCTGATAAACAGTTATTATTTGTGCTGCAATAGTGTTAGGCACTGCATACTGCACATGTATGTAATGAAAAGACAGCCCTGTCCCAAAGATGGCAGGATTTTTCCAATTCCATCTACTGCTACAGACTAATTCTGTCAGGCAACTTAAGAGTATTAACTTTTATATGAGGATACAGGTTGTAGCCATGGTGGTCTACAGGCAAAAGGAATCAGAACTCATGGTAGAGGTGATATCTTTTATTAGACCAACTAGATATTTGCAAAAAAAGTCTTTATTTGTAAGCTTTTGGGCGCACACACCCTTCTTCAGGCATAGGAGAAAGCAAAAGCTGTAAAAATTTCTCCTAGGTGGGAATGAAAATTCATATTTGATAGAGGAGCTGAAGATACTAAAAGATCTCCTAGTTGCAAAAGTTCTTCTTGTGCAAATTAGGCTCAGACAGAAGTCAGAGCAGTCTACTTACGATCTTTGAATTCTCCTATGCCTGAAGAAGGGTGTGCGTGCCCAAAAGCTTGCAAATGAAGATTTTTTTTGTTGTTGCAAATATCTAGTTGGTCTAATAAAAGATATCATCTCTACCATGAGTTCCAAAATCTTATACAAAACACAAACATATCCCCATATTAGGTAGTTCTAAGGAAGTAAATGGGCTCGTACTCTTTTAAAACCAGGTTTGAATTTGGCCTGATAAACAGAGAGGAAGATGGTCCAATGGCTTGGGGGACCCAGACTCCGTTCCCCCATTCTGTGACATACTTTGAGTCTAACCGCAGCAAGTTACATAGACTTAAGCACCGACTATCCATAGATTTGTTTTGAAATGGGTGTTAGGCATCTGAACCTTTGAGGATCTGGGCCTCCATCTTTCTGTGTCTCAGGATCACAGGGCCATACCTGTTACAGTAAATGAAAGATCACGAAGTATTCAGAGGATACACAGCTATGACTACATTAGGTAGTTAAGACTCCTATATCCTTAAGATGAAAACTTTTGAACTAAACAATATCATATAGTATGCATCCAGTAATGATTGATATTAAATAAAAACAAACAAAAAGAAGAAGGGCAGCACAGAAGGAGCATACTTTTACCTAAAGGGCAATGCTAAATTTGTACATCCAGTGCACAAGCTACATTTATCACTTTCAAGAACTTTTACAAAAAAACCCAGAGACTTGATGCTGGCAGATAACTGTATAAATCAGATTGGGGGTCTCTTGCCTACAGAAGCTCTCTTGCAAATGAGTATGTTAAAAGCAGGAAGATTTGATAAAACCTCAAAAATGTAACTTTTCATCCTAAGCAAATGACAATATAAAACAAGGCACAGGAATAAACAGTTCACTTCAGGCCACAGAACGCTGCCTGTAGTACTGAGTTATCTAACATCATCATAGATCTAAAATCCCTGGAGGGCAAATGGAGGGCTGGTGGGGTTTTTGTTGTTGTCATTTGTATTATATCCTTTGCTGCCTCCACAGGCTTCCTACCTCCACTGAGTGTTTTTGTAGAACTTAACTCTGAGAATGGAGTGCAAGCCAACACCAGATCCCTCCCTATTCAACAAACAGTGCAACACAGGTGCCTTAACATAACTTCAGGGTCCTAAGTAAAAGCTGCATTTACTGGCTGCTTTTATGCAGCAAAAATGCAGTGTAAGAGCAGCTAACATTGAATACCAGGGGAAAGCATCAAGAGAGCATGATCTTGTTCTTATCATTGGCAAAGCTCTCCCTGAGTTAAACAGCATAGGATCCTAGCCATAATAAAGGCCTTGTTTCAAATAATGTTGTTTTTTAAATCTAATATTAATTTTCCACAGCCACTGTGAATATCCATATTTGCACTCTACAAGTCCCTCTAAAACCTCTTTGATCAAATCCTTATATTTTCCCGGGTATTCCTCTCATTAAACAACTCCCCCTTCAATTAAACCAAACACAAATCCAGTAGTTCATTAAACCAATCAAGTTCATGTCAATAATCCCTACTGTGGAGGTCCTTGTGGGAACTGATATTCTTTATGCAATTCACAGCATTCTGAATCAATTAAATAATTTTGCCTAACAAGTACTGCAAAAACTGCTTAAACCATTGGAACATTTTTAATAGTATATGTCTTTAATTGCTTCTTTTTTATCTTTTTTTTTTAGCTTCTTAGGAAATTACTAAGCTAGTTATATAAAAAAAAATATAATTGATCTCTATCAAAATTTGAATACAAGATTGTACTTTCAGACCTGAATACACACTGAAGATGGGACATTGTTGACTTATTTCTGAAGTAAGTCCTGCTACAAGTAGCGTAAACCCTTAATTCCTTTGTCTCCATTGATTTGTCTCATATTTAATGGTATTTATTCTGTTCTACAATATAGATAAGTGTCTAACCCTTGTCTAAGAGCCTTTACAATAAATTAAAGATGCAGTCACACAAAAATAATGAACCAGCAGCCATTCCTGATCCCATGCCAGAAAATAAAGGATTAGAAATAAGAATCAGGCCCCAAATGATGTTTCCTGTCCTATCAAATACAGGTTGAGTGCCACAACTGTTGGATGCCTTGACAAAAGCTCCCTGTCTTTTATACTGAAGAAATAAAGTACCTTTACAAGCCGCAGCAGTGTTAACGTGGGAAGTGGAGAGAAGCAGTATCTCTAGTAGGCAGGCACCAAGCCATTCAGGACTAAGACAGCAAGATCAACACCCCTATTACTAAAACAAGCCATTACATCCTAAAGCATCAGTCCCTAGCTAGATTTAGTGCAGCATTGTGCAGAATGTCTTGCAACAGCATTCAAGTGACAAAGGCGAGTATAATAGCAGCAAGGTCTGTATTCAAAATACAGGGTGTATGACAAACAAATAAAAAAGGCTTTCCTACAAACTACTGCTAGATAATCAATTAACTGTAGCTGGGAATCCAATAATATCCTCTGACTATGAACTTTGACAATAGATATAAAACACACACTCTCAAAAGAAGGGCAAATACTCTTTTTATGTTCTAGTGCCTCCCCTAACTTAACTCAATATCACCTCAATCTTATGGTCCTTCACTTGCAGTGAGCTTAATTATAAAATGGTTTTGTACTAAGAAGTACTTAAATGCTGTACTTACACTGCACAATATTCTGCATACAATTAGAGAAGATCTTTTGCATAACACTATGTTTAAATACAAGTGACATGAAATGCCCCCTTCCCCAAAAGATGAAAAAGCCCACTGAAAAGAGCAATCCCACCTTTTCACTCATCTAATTTGCAGTTCCCACCCTAAAGATTTTGCTATTAAGTGTATTACCCACAAAAAGCATGATGTATTGCAGTGTATCTGGGTATCCCCCCGCCCGAGCTTCTGCAAAGTTGAACAGTGAAAGCTGAGCATATGTAAAGAAAAATAAAAGTAAGCCTAGAGTCTGCAGTGCAGTCACTTGACTCCAATGTGAAAGCACGAACAATGTGACTGTTGTAAAGGGCCCAACAGCATTTCCAAGACTACAGTTATTTCCCCCCCAGATGCTGATAACTCCCATTGCAAACTAAAGCTGAACCTAAAAAGAATTCTGCCTGAGAGCAAATACTCTCAGAAGGAATTAAATGGGTCATATCATTAAAGTTATAGAAAGAGACATTTTTTCTCCTTTCAGATTTTTTTTTTTTGGTGGTCGAAAGACAACCACAGTTTTTTCTCTCAAGAAACAGAGTGCTTTTGGTGTGCTTTAATGCAACAAGAGCTGGTGGTTCAGATAGTAGGCAGTAGCTATACATTTAACCACATCTCTTACTTACTTCATGGTCAAGAGTTTTGCATAATGAAGAGCTAGCATTTGAAAGCTTGCCTAGCTTTATTCCAACCCTGCAGTGAGTCCAATAGAAGATATCATCCCCCCCAAAAATCCTTGCATCTTGCATAATTCCTGGACCACCACAGCTACATCATCATTCAAACTCTACCTACCTCAACATCATTCAGATGGATACAGGGTCACAAGAGACAGGCATCTTATAATCACCGAATGATCCAGCAAAGGGGTTTGATCCTGCAGTCTCTACTCCCAGCATCACACCTATCCACACCAAAAGCCAATTCCTGTAACATTTTACTAGCTTTGCCTGAATAAGCACAGTGATATCATAGTCTTAAATTGGTTTGTCCTAAAATCCTACTGAGAAGTGAGACATCCAGACGGGAACAGTCATTAACACTGATTCAAAAGAATCAAAATGTGTTTTCAGCAATGGCTCTTTTTTCCTTGTCCCTTATCTTTAAGAACACCACCAAAACACCAAAAGTTTCACACACACACACGCTATTTTAATTAAAAGTCATCACAGTCTCTCCAAGCACAGGGTTAAACATGAACTTGAGTTTTAAAAAAAAGAAGTCAAGATAGCCTAAGCTGTCTTCCTTTGGAGCAAAGCTTACTCTGAGGAACAACACTGGCTAGAAAACAGGCTCTTGTGTTCTGTAAACACAGACAGAAAAACCACCCCAGCAACAGTAATTTTTACTGTTTCAACAAACATTACAACTGTCCGCAGCCACCAATTCTCCCTAAAAGACATAGGGGGACAGGCTCTTTCTCCTGTTATTCTTTGGTTTGGGGCTAGAAACAACAGAGAAGCAAAAACTTGGTTTGAAAGCCCAGCATCCTGCTATAAAAGCCAAAAACCAAGCTAGTTGGGGCCCAAGATCTCACTGCAACCAAAGGAAACATGACCAAGGCCAACCTACGACAACGGATGTTGACATCCAGAGTTGGGAGGAGCTCGCTACCAATGGCGCCACAGCCTCAACCGAGCAGCAGCGCATCAAGGTAAAGCCTCTTGCCCTCAAAGCGGAAAAAGAGCGCGCGGAAGAAGGAAAAGGAGAGGAATCCCCCACTATGACCGACTGTACCTGCTACATCTGTGGATGGGTCTGGCAGACGACAGAACAAGGAGCAATGGGCTCGAGTTGCAGCAAGGGAAGTTGAGGTTGGATGTTAGGAAAAACTCCCTCACGAGAAGAGTAGTAAAGCACTGGAATGGGCTCCCCAGAGCGGTGGTGGAGTCTCCACCCTTGGGGGCATCCAAGACCACAGCAGACAAACCCGGGCTGGGATGATGCTGCTGGGCATTATCCTGCCTGGAGCAGGGGCTGGACAAGATGTGAGCTCCCACCCCGCCCACCTTTTCTAAGCTCCTCTGCACATGGCTCCAGCATCCGGCTCCTCAGTGCCCTCAAGCCCCCTCCCACAAACTCCTGGGGAGGGGGGATATTTCCACCCTCCCCATCACCAACTCCCCAGGGGTATATCTATCCTCCCCCACACAAACCCTGGGGGCGGGGGGAAGGTATTTCCACCCTCCCCCCACAACGCCCGGGGGGTATATGTATTCTTCACACCAAAAACCCCGGGGAGAGGTATTTCTATCCTCCTCCTCCCCCCACAAAGACCGGGGGGGGGGGTATTTCTATCCTCCTCCCCCCACAATTCCTGGGTGGGGTACGTGTATCCTCGTCCCCCACAACCCCGGGTGGGGGCTATTTCTATCCTCCCCCCATAACTCCCGGGTGGGGGTATGTGTATCCTTGTCTCCCAAAACCGCGGGAAAGAGTACATCCATCCATCCACACCCCCCTCTCCCCATCAGGTCGGTGTGGCCGCCCCCCTCAGCCCCTCGGTCGGGCCTTACCCGGAGGCGCCATCCCCCCCGGCAGGCCCGGCACCTCCTCCACCTCCGCCCGCCCGGCTGCCGCCATCCGCCCCGCCCGCGGCATCCGCT